AATAGTATGTTATAACTTATATGTTATTATGTTATATTATGTTATGTTATTATGTTATATTATGTTAACGTAATGATTTGTAACCCTCGAAAAGATGTTATGACCATGCCCTGATTGTTCTGTATAATGATGGTATGTAAGATAAGTAATATGTGATCCTGTATTATGTTATGACCAATACATTCTGATACGTTTGTTTATGTAATGACAGATGAAGTCATAATTGTCTGTAAACACCTGTAATTAAAAATATTGTCGCTAATAACCTTAGTCGTTGATGCTACAAAAAACTTTTTTTTTTTGACGTCTTCCTACAAGTACTATTGTGAAGATATTTTTTTTCTCTAGAAATGTGTTTATCAAAAACAGATCTTCAAATAAGGTCAGGTTCAAATATATGAAATAGTGAGTATTGATTGTCTAACTTGGCGTCAAACAGTCGCCCGCTCCAAACTGCCTGCACTTAGTGAACGTAATAGATGTGATTCCAGGTAGTTGGATGCCACGTAAGTTAGAACTTGTATATTATTTCATATTTATTTGTTCATACCTTACATTGGAAATTTTTTATGCTTATAAATTAGTATTTTAGAATTATTTTTCAAATTTGATATATGTGAAAGAAAATTTGCTAGCCAGGGATATAGATTGGAATCCAACAATGGCATTCCGTTCTGCCAGAAAGCAGCTTCATTTTTGTGAAATACGTCTCATTGTTGGTATATAATTTATCTGTATGAGAAGTAGTCATAACTGACAAATTTGAGTTATATTTGCTTGAAAATATTTAGTTTTTCAACCGTATGTTCTACGATTTGTAATGAGTTTTACAAATAATGATGACAGTGTTGTTTCGGGGCGAAGTTGTAGTATAATGATTATTACATGACCATTACTAAAGGAGATAAAGTACGTACTGTTTTAGCACCGCCTGTTTAGACAGAAATTAATACAGAAATGCGTCACATTTTCTAATTGTCAAATACAAAACTAATGACATACCGTCATCACAAGCTACTTAGGTACTACTTGGAACACGCGAAAAATGTTTTCAGTGGTTGTAGCCGCTTATACATAGTATTGACAAGTTAGTTTGCAGTTGCTTCCGTGCGATGCAACACAATGCATCACTAAACGCATTTAGTATAATTCAGTATTACTCCTATAAGTTACAGCACTCACAATTTGGAGTCGAAATTGACGAAATTTGAGCCCTGCATGCTTTTTATCTTTACATTGGATTTTCAAGATAGTTGTTCAAGTTTACACTTCAGTAATTATATATTTGTAAATAGAACGGCGATGATAACGTCGTTATTAGTAGAAGGCCTTCCATATTTCATATTTGTGAGCTATCTTAAACACAGGACTATTTTGATCTACGCTTACAGTCATTTTTATCTTTCACAACATTCTTTTTTTTATCTTTTTAATGCGTTAATCGTTTTATTTCGATATTTAAAACTTCAATAATGGTGATTTATCTCGTATTTATAGTAATCTTATCGTTAAAGAACACAAATACAAAAGATTTTCTCAAGTCAGTAATGCCGATTATAAGGACCATCAGCTATTGGAATGTTTTGCAGTAATTACGTCGGGAATAATATCAACGAGACAAGTTGAAGTTGAAATTGATAAAATGGGAAATATTTGTGTTTTATGGGCAAGAAAATGAGCATGCAAAACATAATAGCATGTGTTTGTTGTAACGGGAAGGTGAATTTAAGACCCTTAGCGGAGGCTCAAGAAATTTTGAAAAGCTTGCTACATGATGAACATTCTTTAACAAAACATTTCGTGAGCGATTTGAGACAATACATCTCCCTTATTCAGAAGACATCTTTTTATTGAAGAGAACATAAAGAAGGATTTTATATGCCAACATTGAAAATTCATGCGTAACTTTATCATGGTACTGGTAATTTACTTCCAACAACTAACTCTGGCTTTCTGCAGGTGTATTTTCACTCTGAAGCAGTCCAGCTGCCTTCGCGTCAAAACTTTGCAGCAAATTTAAATACAAAAATTACACAAATGATGCAGGTTATATACGGAAGTAGTGCATTTAGCACTATCCGTAGAGATAATGTTGAAAAAAAGTATATTATTGAATCGACGTCAGAGATATATCAAAAAATTACAATTGGGTAATTTTCCAAAATATCTACTTGACCATAATCAAAGAATTAATTATGGAGAACATAGAACATTTAAAACAAAAATATCTTGAATTTTGTAGTTGTAGGAAAACGCCAAAAAATTTCTAATTTTTCAGATTTCAAAAATCGACAGTTAACCGTGAAAATCGGACCTCTGCCACTTTAATAAGTGTGTTACACTCTTCTCTTACCAAAACTGTAAAAAATAAATTTGGAGATAATTTGTAAAATGCCACAATGTCTTCAAGTAAAGTACACCACCCCAAAAAAATACTATTCAATATGTATTTGTTTGCAGAGCTTCAAATGATGCCACGTCGACAATGCTGTATTCAGTTTGGAATAAATCCTACGATTAATTTAGGCTTTAGTGTTGTTCACAGACGATGGACGGAAGTTTTGGAAACCACAGAGTTTTCTGTATCAGGGGACACCAAAATGTATTTCCGTTGAAATGTCGAAATCTATTTTCTGAAGCATTAGATAACTTTCTCTATACTACGTATATTACTTCCTACATTCGTACGTATACGAAAAAATAAAAAACTATATTTCTCACTCTTAAGTGATTGAACTACTGGGGAGTTTCTGCACAATGTACGATGTACATTTGAGACACCCATGTGATTGTATTGTTGGAAGTCTTAATCACGTTTTTCACAACGTGACGGTAGAGTATGAGGCTGACGCTAAATTATCTTAATGCCACATCCTCTTTGTTCCCATTTCTTCGAATTCCCCGCCAAATTATCATTTGTCTGGAGTGGCCAGGGCCTTCGCCTTGGACGATTTAACTCCTGCACTCACCGCAAGAAAGCGCCCCTCGCCCCTCTCCCTATGAGGGTGGGGTCCGAGGGGTTGAATGCTGGGTACCGGGTCACGTTGGGGTGGGGCTCCACATCGACGATCGTGCGAATGATGACAACGCTTAGGAGGAGGGCCACAGGTAATAAGATTTGGACGAGCGTGATAAACACGTTGCGCACCTGCAGTAGCCAGTTCTTCCAGACCAGCAGCCAGAGCTTGGTATAGTAGCGCGTCATCCCTGGGCGGCACGACGTGGCAGGGGCGGACGGCATGCAACAAGCGTACAGAGGAGAGCAACAAGAATTAAGTCATGTAAGCAAAATTGCTGAGAATGAACGTTAATACGGCATATTTAACTTACAGCGGAAAAGTTTGCACTGTGTGAAAATGTCACAATAATTGAAAAATCTGTGTATACAAGTATACCTATATAATATCCTGGTTTTAAAAAGGGTCAGATTTAAACCCTTTTAACGTGTTTTTAATGTAATATAAAATCATGAGATTTATTGTACTCTCAACGCGAAGGGGGCAACAAAGTGTACAGTCTCTTCTAAAAAACGTAGTAAGTAAATTTACATATTATTTGAACTGGAAAGAAAGTGATGACTAGAGAGAACTGCCGAATATGATGGTAAGACGTTCCCCTAAACCAAATGACACGACTAGATATAGTATAACTCTAACATAAAAGTAATATTTTTGGAAGGTGTATTAGACATCGTCCCATCACCCACACCCATCTACAGCCAAAAAGTGTTTTTTATTTTGAATTTTGCTATCAAATTGATACTACTTTATCAGATTGGAAAAATTTGACAAGTAGGACAATAATTCAGACTCATTTTCTCAGTTTCAAATTGAGACGCAAACAAATATTTTTGAAAGCAAATAAGAAAAAATATTTTTACTATGTCTTAGAACCGTGGAACTGGCTTGAAAAATCTTGTCAATTTTTTCAGATTTTTTTTTCGACTGCTGGGCTGTAGTTAAAAAAATAAAATCAATTTTTACCACTCCTACGCCTTTAAATCACCTTCACTTTAAACACGCTTTGAAAATGACTGCAAGAGTTCTGTGCATTTATTTTAGTATTTATTATATTGTAACGTTTCTCGGTGGTGAATTCAGACATACACTGGTAATATTTTAAACAAAAACGTTTATTTTCTTTCTAAATGATACACTAAAGTAGTTGATTGATTTATTTACACTGTTCACTTCTGATTATTTATTTACACTATTCACTTCAACACTACCGCACAGTCCGATGCACCTGCTACCGTTCACTGCGCTGACCACAATTCACTGCACTGCTGTTCACCGCGATGTGCATTTCACAGCTCAGCTTCCGACTTCAGGCTGCTGTCCACCTACTGCACTGCTGTTCACCGCAATGCACACTTCACAGCTCAGCCTCTACTTCACACTGACGTAGACTGCATACTCACTGGCTCCATACACTGACTGACTCGCGGCCGCCGACAGCGGCGAATTTATACCTGCCTGGCGCCGGCTCAACACATCCGGAACTCGCGCCACACCTCTACGCGACTCGCGAATAACCCGGAAGCGTCCAGTTCGGGGGGCGCCGGCAGATGACACAATCCGCGCAGCGAATCCCGCCAGGTGATGCAATATTCGTTACAATATCATGTTTTGGGGGCTTTCTTATTCTCTGTAAGTGTATCATACGCTAACGAAAGATTATAGTTTTTGGCAGTTTATAAGAAACCATCAATACATAGAGAAGTTCACTCCAGTCCTAAATTGAACAGATTTCTAAAAACAAAATATAAGTTTGCAGATTATGACGTACATAACAAAGATAACTGCAACACACATTATATTCGCAAATAACTTGGAAGCGATACGTCCTAGGGAGACCTCTTAAACCAAGTTTGTGTGTCTCATGGAGGCTCTCTCTCTTTCTTTGAGGACAAGTAAATTCTCACAGATGGCATATTTTGGTGGGCGTGTAGATGACAAATGGGTAAATGTTGAGGGACAGTTCGGGTGGGAAGTGGATAGGTCGAGGATAGATGGGAGACTTCAGAGGGACAAATTGTACCCGGCTTATGTTCTTAGTCAGTATTGGTTTCTCTCACACAGTATCGGGCCTGTAAACTTGTAAACCACATTTTGGGTCATGGGCAGGGAGATGCTACGTTAAATCAATATTCAGTTTTCATATAATTATTATTCAGGAGGTCTAGGACGCGGCAACCCCCGGACAGCCAAGTAGATAACTACAAATATCTAAGTTTTTTTATTTTTAACTACACCTTTTTATAAACATTCTGCATGTGTAATATTTTCTACCAGTCTTTAATGAATTAATGGGCAACTTCTCTGACAAACACATTTCAACGCTTTGTATAAACAAATTTATTTCATATAACTGCAAATTTACTCCCAACTTGTGTATGTATGTATGTATGTATGTATGCAATGGGATTACACACACACACATTTGTGTTCCCCAAAATGGTGAACCTGAAATGAATAATAAATTATACGTTAAAATTATATATTTTACTTACAAAGAAAATCATGGACATAACCAGACAATTTACCGCTTACCTCTGATTGTAAATGGACATTCTAATGGGAAGAAATTCTTGTTAAAGATACTCATCTTATTATTACGTCCTTTGTCCTTTGTAAACATTGACCCCAGCCGCATAATTTCCATTGATGAGCCACTATTTAACACTCAAAACTACAAAACACCACACAGCCCGCGAACCTTTCCGCTCCCGCGATGCCACCATGTATGACCACGCATGAGAGTAAGTCCCGCCAAAGAAGATTGGGCAACATTACCATACTAAATGTCTCAATTACCATGCCCTCAGCGTTCACAAATGCGTTCTAGCGGGAACCATTGAGAACGTAATGTGAATTAATAGGGTGGTTATAGGCCCCACGTACCTCTCAACGTCAATGGGTTGGTAAGTATTGACAATCAACCACCGGTATGTCTCAATGTATAAATCGATCGTTACAACTTTAAGAAACGTAACTATAGATTTATAGTTGACGAAGAGATGATCATTTTTTAGTGTATTGCCCAGAAATTCAAACAATCTTTAAAAAAATCACAATAACAGAACTTATGAGATTTTTTCCTGCTTGGCCAAGAAGACAGTTCTAACACTCAACAAGTAAACCAATTCTTGTAAATGTGGATCAACCTGTTCCACTTCATTTCCCTACATGTCCCTCAATTATTCTGCACCTGTGACCAAATTGGTTTCTCATAAACTGTCAAAAGCTATCGTCTTTCCTTGGCGTACGATATACAAAGAACTACAAATCTTTAAAAACGTGATAATTCGTAACTATAAGTAAAAATATTACTGAGTACTACAACAATGTATACAAAAGTGTAATAAACACCAACATAAATCACAAACCTGTTGTAGACATTTTCAAAGTATGCTTAAAGTCAACGTTAAAGGCGGGAAATGGTATTACTGTTTTTTATTTTGTTAACTACAAACCAGCAGTCGAAAAAATCTGAAAAAAATTGACAATTTGTATTTTGAGAGGGACGTTTGGGATTTTCTCAAGCCAGTTCCAGGGTTTTAAGAGAGTAAAAATTATTTTTTGTTATTTTTTTCAAAAATATTTGTTTGCCTTTGAATTTGGCAGTGAGAAAATATAAAAAATTTGTATCTAATAGTATGAATTATTGACTTATTTGTCCATTTTTTCAATCAGGTAAAATAGTGTTAAGTTGGCGAAAAAATTATAATAATAAAAAACACGTTTTTGGCTGTAGAGGGGTGTGCGTGTTGGGCAGAAGCTAAGAAACCATTTTAAAATATTATTTTTATGTTTGAGTTATAGTGTAACTACTCATATGTCATTTGGTTTAAGGGAACTTTTTACCATCTTATCCGGGGGTACCCTTTGCACTGAAATCAAGACTGCTAAATCTATATTGTGACTATGCTAGATTTATGCAAAATATATACAGTTAACAATATTTTTTTTAAAAGATTAGAATTTATTTACGGCAACTCAATGCTGAATTATTTATTTTAAAATACTTTTACAAGTAAAGGAACCATGTTGTATAAAGCCGATTTATTCCATTGTTTGCAGTCTGTCACGCTGAATTCATTAACAAATAACTGCGAAAACTCACAGTTACGGGAAGAGTAACAGTTAACTATTGTTAGATTTATCAATATTATAATTATGTCTATAGATAATTATTTTATCGATGAGAATTTAGATCCATTTTTGTGTATGTCTTGCATGTTGCAGAGAATGCGTTAACTTGAAAAGGGTCAATGGAAATGTATTTGGACCGAAGTTTATCTATATCGAGGCGAGCCGAAAATGCACTGCGCGAGCCAAAACTGCATGCATTGATACAACAAACGCCTGGAGGACGTATTTTTAAAACAAGCAGCAAACGGCAAAGCAAAAACTGCTTCAGCGGTAGGCAAATGAAGCCGATGCCTCAAAGTTGTACATTTACGTATAAAAAAGATCTTCAACGCCAACAATGGCAAAGAGGCCGATATTGACAAACTTGCCGACAACTTCCTCTAACTGAGTGTCATCAGACCTAACACCTGATGCACGAAACAGCACCATTCCCAATTAGCGCAACTAAATTAACACCCGAGTTCTTCCACACCGGCAACCACAGTTTGGAGCAGCTGTGCTTTACACTGCAGGTCGGGACGGGAGGTGGAATGACCATTCTCCGCAACCAGAGGCAGGACGTCCTGGAAGTTAGCAAGACCATTTCAACCAATCACAAAACAGCATAGCCGTAATTTGCCGCATTTTTTCCGTTCTGACGATGTGGAAAAACATTTTTGCCGCGAGCTATTTTCTCAAAACATCAGTGTTCATGCTAACTTCCAACGGAAGTTAGTTGGACCACACCTCCAAATCCGCTAATAATGCAAGTATATACACAAAACTATACTCCAAATTTACCGGTTTTTACCTATAAACGATTAGTGAAGAAATCAATCTCCTATCTACACTTATTCAAAGAAAATAAACATTACCATTTCGTCAGAAGCCGCGGAAAGCATACTTGATAAATCTTCATGTAAACAAATTCGTAAATTTTACAAGCCGAAGGCCAAACATCATCCTGAGGCCTGTAGGGTTGGCTTGACGAGTACTGTCGTAAACCTAACTGATGAACAGTTAAACGAACCTACGGTGCCTGTATTGAGCAAAGGTCTCATTCGCCCCCGTGCCCGATCGCGTTCCTACCGCGGATATCGTGGCAGGGGTGGAAAACGCGGTCTCGAAACTGCCCGTCGACCAGGCTGACTACATCGCAGAGAATCGGCTCGTGTTCTGGCCCATTCTAAATTGCCACGTAGTAACTTGCCAAGCGATGAACGTGTAACGTTGCGTTAGCTATGTAAGCGCGAGGACCTCGTCGTAGTACCCACAGACAAAGGCAATGCCACGGTGGTCATGAAAACCATAGACTACCATTGTAAAGTTGAGGCGTTGCTGACAGATCAGGCCTATACTGTCTTTAAAAGCAACCCCGTACGAAAGCTGAGGGGAGAGGTCACGGCACGGCACAAATAACTCGGCTGCTATAGAGCCGGAGGCCAAACCTAGGCTAAAACGTGGCAACCACTGTATCCCTAGGCTTTATGGTTTCCCTAAAATACATAAGCCCGACGTGCCACTGCGCCCAATTGTGAGCGCTATTGACTCTCCCACTCGCTCGCTATGTGGCCAACAAACTGCAGCCTTTGACTGACGACATCAAGTCAGCTGTCAGGAATTCGGCCCATCTTATTGACATTCTTAAGGAGCATTGTGTAAATGACTCGGACATCCTCCTCAGATTCGATGTCACGTCTTTGTTCACAATGGTTCCGGTGGACGAGGCGGCCACTGTCATACGCAGTAAACTTTGCTCCCGTGGGCTCAACCTGGAATGGGCCGACTTAGCTGAGTTCTGTCTCACGGCCACTTTCTTCCAGTACCGTGAGCAACTATATGCTCAAGTTGAAGGAGTGGCCATGGGTTCCCCTCTCTCTCTCCGGTTGTGGCTAACCTTTTCAAGGAGGCCTTCGAAACGGACGCCCCAGAGAATGCCCCTTTAAAACCAACTTTATGGCTTCGGTACGTGGACCATACACTAGTAGTGTGACCCCACGGTCCTCACACCTAAGCTGTCTTCCTCCAGCACCTTAATAACACACACCGCACGATGGAGGTGGAAAATTGCCTTTCCTCGACTTGCTGGTGAGTCGGATAGCAAACTGCAGGCTAGAACACAGTGTTAACCGGAAACCCACCCACACAAACCGCTATCTACACACCGGCTCTCACGAACACCCGACAACTAAACGGAGGGTTTTGAAAACTCTATCCGTCAGAGCAACTAGAGTGTGTGATAACGAATCGTTGGTCTCTGAAATGGAGCTCCTAAAGAACACATTTTGAGCAAACGGGTACAGCGCTAACGCTGCCAACCAAGCGGTACGGCAGGCTACGACCTCTTCCAAAACTGCTGATATCACCACACCTAGAAACGATCCCAACCACAAAATAGCCACTACCATATATGAGGTGTTACGGATAAGATTGGCAAGCTTTTGAGCCGCTTCGATATAAAGGCGGCCTACAAAGCCAAGGAAAAACTCGGGCAAAAGCTTGTACGCGTGAAAGATCGCGTCCCTCTCTTTATGTCATCAGGGGTATACGAGATCCCATGCAGCTGCGGCCATAGTTACATTGGCGAGACGGGACGTACCGTAGAGGAACGCTTCCGGGAACATATTCGTAATTATAAATACAATAATACGAATAAATCGGCCGTAGCCCTGCACGCAAGGAAAACTGGCCACACAATTCTGTTTGATGACACACGCCTCTTAGCCAGAGAAGACTGCTGAGGAACCAGGAGGCTAAAAGAGGCGGTGGAAATGATCAAACACCCCCATAACTTGAATACTGACCAAGACATTCGTCTACACGACGCCTGGAAACACCTATTATACCAGGACGTCCGATCTCCACCGACTGCAGTCCTAGCTGCTCCGCAATGTCCGATTACAGACGGAGCGCCTCCTCTCAACCCGCGGGAAGCCCGCCCCTGATTGGCCGGTGCACTCAATCCGCATTGGCCGACCACCCGGCCAACCGGCACAGGGGTAGAGGAGAAACTGAGCCCTATTTTAACTCGTGCGCAATACATCTCCGCAATAATTATAATATAATTATTATAAGTGTGAATGCGAGTGAGAGAAAAAAATTAAAAGAAGAAAATAGAACAATTTCAACAACTCTCAATTAAATAATTAAAAATCAAGTCTAAAAACTAGTAAAGCCCAAAGTGGTAATGTATATAGTTACAGTTATAAGATAGTTTTAGTTTGTATGTAAGCAATAAAGCTCTCCCTAACAGCACAAGCCAAATCGGCTGCAGTTATCCATAATGTACCTCAAAAGACAAATAAATTCCAGCCTCCCCAGGGTAATTGGAGGGGGGGACTAAAAAAAATCACCGCTACATCCTGAGGAAGTTCGCAGAATGGCGATCGAAACGTCGCACCTTCGCCATGGACGCGGCGTCACCCGGACAGCCAAGTAATCTCAAACAAACCCAAAAAATGAAAGCTACGTTGCTCTTGGAAGCGAAGTCGAATAAAAAACGAGACTTCCCCTGTAACTCGTCTGCCATAACAATGCATACTCTACGCCAAAATTTGCCGCAAACCAGTTCTAAACAAAATCTGTAATCAAAAATTTTGCCCCGGACCGGTTAGATTTTATTACCTGGGTTCGTACCCCATAGTTTGTCCTCTTACATGAGCTCTGCGAACGTTAAGAATACCGTTCCTCCTAAACCATCAGATATAACAAGTCTACTCTACACCAAAATTTGTCGCACACAAATGCTTAATATAAGTTGAAATAAAAAAAATGTGTTGCGTTCCGATTAGTTTCAATAACGCGGGTTTGAATCTCAGAATGCCCCTCTAAGGAACGTCCTAAACGTTATGAAGACCGTATCTTCTAAAACAGCAGCCATAACAATTCATACACTACACCAAAATTAGACGCAAACAAGTACTAAATAGAATCGGTAAAAAATAATTTGCCGCGGACCAGCTGAACTCAATTACCCGACTTCGAATCCCAGATTTTGCCCTTATAGCTTTGCAAAGGTTAGAAGCCCGTTCCTCCTAAACCATCCACCATAACAATTCATACTCTACGCCAAAATTTGCGGTACACAAATGCATAATATAAACTGTAATAAAATTTGCCGCGGACCGGTTAGTTTCAATAATGCGGGTTCGAATCCCAGAATGTCCCTCTCAGGAACAAGTAAAGACCATACCTCCTAAATTAGCAGCCATAACAATTCATATACTACACCAAAATTTGAGGCAAATAAGTACTAAATATATTCTGTAAATAAAACGCATTTTGCGGTCAAATTCCAAATACAATTGACAATTACGGGTGGGGGAGATAATCCTTCGAGAGCTCTGTTTATCTACCCAAAGCTTGCAAAGTTAAGAGGCCCGTTACCTAAACCATCAGCCATATCAATTCATATTCAGCGCCAAGAAGTTGCAATGTGGTGACTAAAAATGGAATTATGGTTGGCAACCTCAAATTGGGTATTGAGCCACATTTGATCGGGCAAGAAATATTGCTAATTACTAGCATGTATGTTAGATGGAAATTTTATCAAAAAAAAGGAGAATGGGTGCAAACGGCAACTACGACTACTCAACAGAATATTACGTTTGATGTACCCTAGATGACAAATCTGTTCATGTGTATCGCTGCTTAGAAGCTGCAAAAACACGAGCAATGGGTCCATTTTGTATAGCGAAGATGCACTACACTAGGCTAAACAGGAATCTTTATCCGCTGAACTATTAGGGCTAGATCCAGTTAAAGCGCTGGCTACTTTGAGAAGGTGTTCGGCACATAGTGTATGGTTCATATATAGGATATGATCCTTTCTAAGTTCATATTTTTTCGAACCACCAAATAAACCTATATAAATTGTCCATTGATGAACCATAAGTCTATTTATGTCTAGATGCAACAGGAAACGTTGCGAAAAAAATCGCCATGTAGATAATTCTTATTCACATCTATTTCTTGCATTTAACCGTGATGCATTGTGCAGTTAAACATTTTCTCTTGCGGATATGGTCTCAGAAGGCCGAAGAACCGCCATCATATCATCATGACTAAAATAATGGGTAAAATTTGAAGCTCGCTTTCCAAAGGAAGTAGTGGAAGTAGGAATAGTGAGTACACTATTAACAATATACAGGTATTGTAATTTGTTTTAAAATATAAGACAATACAAAAGCTTCGCTACACACTTTTTTCTTTTCAGGTTTGCGATTACTCTATGGCACTACTAAATGTTTGTACCTGGTCTTTCTGTGGGTTCTTGACGAATAAACTGTATGTAGATGCCTGTATAAATGGTTCATGTCTCATTTTCGTTAAAAAAGCCCGTTTTTTCAAATATTTAAAATTTCAAAAATTTGTTCGGAGTCTTACAGTTCGAACAATAGTACAATTATGAAGGAGCAATTTTTTTCTTAATGAAATGTGTTCATCAAAAA